TGGTGGTCCTGAAAAGGACCGTTTAGTCGTGATGGTTGAGTAATGCTGAGCTATTGGGCTAATTGTTTGGAGCAAGGTTGACACGCTTGGCATAAATGACCCACAGCTACTCACGAGGAAACTGATTTCGATCCAGCGGCTTCTTCCTCCTTCTATGGGTGCTCATGTGGGCTCTGCAGCTCACTGCTTGCAGGCTGCCTTTCGTGGGGTACGCCACACGCTAATCACTGCTGCTGCTGCTGACGTTGACGACCGGACACCACCACACTCGGTGATTGAATGAGCACCGTTCAGTGAGACAGGATCGAATTCGATTTTTAAATCTGTGTTAGGGAATGCGCTGTTTGCAGGTAATCGGTTATAATTTTGATCACCATTGCAACAGTTGGACATTTGTGTATTTTTCAATAGTGACCTATTGAAAATTAATAAAGTGTTCAATTTAGCAGATTGGTAGATAAATTCCCAATTCTTTGGCTTGTTTAGAATTAAAATTCATCTGCTATTGACAGTGGTATATGTGGTCAAAACCTGACCTATTTTCGTCCCGCGGTTGATTTTGGTTTTTTTGAAATTGCACCCCCAATATGTTGCCGAAAGACGTAATCCTACGTCAAAACAATGAACATCTCCGTTTCGGCAGAAAAAGAATACCAATTGGTGTCTTGACAACCAAAGCAAATGCGATTTTCACGGAAATTCTTTAAACAAAATCACCACGCAGATTGTATTCTAGGTGCAAAATACTATCACTAGTATGCTTGACCAGCATATCAAAATTTCCTTAAATGAAATTCACTTGTGACGGAAATGGCGTGGTCAACATTGAGCAAAAAAAATCAGCCTCTCCGTCACCGCTTCATCCAAGCATACAATATGGCTTTTACTTACGCCGAGAAATTCAAGCTAAATACACCACTTTTCATCAAAAATTAAACACTCGCGCCGGGCATGAAACTTTTATCCTCATCGCCACTAAAATATATGCTACTTTAGCATCTAACACGCCATATTACTAATTTAAGGTTTTCGGTACTTTGTTAAAAGAACAGTGTTCTTCAGTTTATCACCACACTACTTCTGATTGGATTTATTTCCACTCTCAAACTTTACAACTTTATTTTCCCTTTTCGTTCTACCTGTCTCTTTTATTCTTCGACCATCTCTTTCATTCCTGTCATTATGTTACCTCCTGAATTCGAAATCGGTAACTGACCGTTTTACCGATTGTATACAACAGTGTAGTACTAGAATTTAGACTAGAATGAGGTACGTTAATCGATTTGCTTGGGACCAATAGGCTAGTCAAAAAGTGAGCCAATTTAAAATCGATAGTTTCGTATTGATTGTTGCTAGAACCTAGCAAGAACTAAAATAAAGTCTGGAACGCGCAAAAATTTGTCAAATTCAAATTGGTGTATTTGCCGGCGCCGGTGGTGTAGTAGTAAACGTGACTTATTTCTAACACCCCATTGGGTCTGGGTTCAATCCCAGTCGAGGTCGGTGGGATTTTTCTGAGGCATAAAAATCTCTGGTCACGTCTTCCTTCGGAAGGGAAGTAAAGCCGTTGGTCCCGGCCCATGTGTGTTGAATGGGTGCGATATCCTACGCAGGTGTGGAAGCTGCCTTCCTGCACATTCGGTTGCCGTCAATGGATGGCAATCGATGTCCGTCGGTGATTGGCACTAGATTGCGAAACAGAGACCGACGTTAAATAAAGGAAAAGAAAAGAAATTGGTGTATTTCTGTTAAAAATGCATAAAAAAAACCTGAAATGCTGTATTTGGAAGTTGAGTGTATATACAATGGTTGCTATGATGAGTTTTCCCCCGTTCGCTCTCCAGTTTTCAAAATAACGTCCAAGCAAGAGGAGCAGCGTGTCAAAATTTTGCTCGCGCAGCAAGAGAATCCGACGTTCTCACACGCCAAGTTGGCAAAATTGCTGGAAACGTTTTAAAAGTGTTCGGGGAGCTTCGGTCGACCGCCAGGAAGCCTGGAAGCGGTGGTAATCGGCGGCCGGACATGGCAGCGACGACGAAGAAAGTGGCGGTGAAATATAAGCGGAATCGAATCCTAACCTCTTCATCCGGGACGTCACTGGCAAGCTCAATGTCTCCCATACTAGAGTCGGTGTATAATGAGTCACGCCAAGAGAAAAATAGTTTAACTCGCATCACGGTTTTCGAAAGATTCTTTTTCTTTTCACTTGGCAACAGAAGACTTCTACATCAACTTCAAATGACTTCTAGCCATAAATAAAAATAGCGGCTGTAGTAAATCATGATATCAGTGATTTTGTCAAATTATCTTAACAAAAAATAGTAGAAATTCTCATTACTGGTCATTACTAAACGTATCCCATGACAAGTTAATACTCACTGCGTATTTATGACCATTTCTTCGATTATATTTTATATTTTATTGCAATACCTTTCGTGGACCTTTCATAGCATCGTAATGTTTGTTTACTTTGCTCGATAGGTAGCCGGTTTGACAGTTCAATAGGTAGACTTGGCTTCACTCTTGGCGTGACTCATTATACACCGACTCTATCCCATACTACCAACAATCAATACGAAACTAACGATTTTAAATTGGCTCACCACTTTAGTAGCCTATTGGTCCCAAGCAAACGATTAACGTACCCTATTCTAGTTGAAATTCTATTACTACACTATGTTTGTTTTGATTCGCTATGAAAGTTTGACAGATAACATCAGGGGTGTGTGGATTCATGCAGAACATGCAGGGGTGAGTGAAATAGCTTGGGACTGCTTGGGACCGTTGTTCTGGTACTGAGTGAGCCAAAAATAATAATGATTTTCTTCGGGACCCAGTAGTCTTAGAGTTACCTCTATGATACTACTGTGCAGCGGGCCAAGAAACGAGCTGGGTTGTCGACGTTTGAAAAGGTGAAGGTGGCGAACCGAGATTACAAACAAAACACGTTGGCAAAGCAGCGGTCCCGAATGCTGTATACGAATCGGCTCACAAAGTTCGACTGTGTCATCATGGACGACGAAAATTATGTGAAGGCGGATTTCAAGCAGCTTCCGGAACAGGAGTTTTATACCGCATCAGGAAAAGGGAAGGTGGCTGAAATTTTCAAAACCATCAAACTATCGAAGTTCTTGAAAAAATATCACGTCTGACAGTGTGGTCTAAAATGCGGCATTTTCATTACTATGGGAACCATCAATCAAGAGATTTACGTCCAGGAGTGCCTGGAAAAGCGGCTGCTACCATCACTAAAGCAACATAATAGAGCTGTGCTCTTCTAGCCGGACTTGGCGAGCTGCCACTAAAGCTGGGTTTAGACAAGGCAAGTCAATTGATCAATTCAGTTGAATTCAACTGACTTGAACGCGAATTGAACGTGTAAACCATGCCATTCAACTGACTTGATCAACTCACTTGAATTGAAAAAAGTTGAATCAGGCTCAACTTTTCAAGCCAATTGAATTCAACTGAGTTGATCATTTGACTTGCCTAATCTAAACCCAGCTTAAGGGAACAAGGCAATCGAGTGGTACGATGCGAACAACGTGGTTGTGGTACCCAAAGACCACAACCCTCCCAACAGCCCAGAACTCTGTCCTATCGAACGGTGTTGGGCCTTGGTCAAACGGAATCTAAAAAAAACTAATAAATCCATGGAAAACGAATAGCAGTTTAAATCTCACAGGCTTTCGGCGGCGAATAAGGTCGATGAGACCACTGTGCAAAATGTTATGGAAGATTTTTTTTACTAGTTCATTTATTTACTATGCTCAGTCGTGTGTGACACTTTGCGGACCCAAAATCAGTCATGTTTGAATTTACATTTTAAATAGCAGTAGTTCTAGGTTAGTATTGGGTACCAATTACTCGTGGCGGGCTCGAGGTTAATGGGTAACAATTTCTATTGGAAGGTTCTAGGTAGGAAACTGGTTTCTGAAGCCTCCTTCAGATACTACTCTCGGACGGTTGACCAAGTCCTGGTTGGGCAGGGGCAAGTAGCACAGAAACAGGAGGATAATAAGACTGGGACACAATGGCGGGAAATTGTTTGGAAAGGAGGGGATGGTCACATCAAACTCTAACATGAGACAAACAAAGGAATTCGTAGATCGCTTGCACGTAGGGAAGATCACGTGTTCCCAATACATCTCTTACTCCACGAAAGGGTTGTCTACCTCGGGCCACTAGGGTATCCAACAGTCGTGCTCTGGAGGCGTCATTACCCGGGCAATACCAAAATGCGTGATCGATGTCATCATAATCGGTTCTGCACCTACATATATTGCTGTCAACGAGGTTTATTCTATAGAGATGTGTGTCTAGCGAGTAGTGGTTGGACATAAGTCTTGACATCACTCGAATGAATCCCCGACTTACATCCAGACCTTTGAACCACGCTCTCGAAGAAACATTTGGAATAATGGAATGTAACCACCGCCCAAGAGAATTACTTGTCCAATCGTATTGCGGAAGGCACGGCAGTTCGGATTCGGCAAACCAAAAGAATAAACGAACATTTTTTCCTTTAAATATATGAATTGAACTACCAAAAGAAAAATGAGAAGATTTTTGTGATATAAATTTTGACTGAAAGAAACGATTTTTTTGTCGACCAATTTTTGCGCGTTCCAGTCTTCAAGGGCCTAACAGTTTTTGTAAACAATGATTTCTCTCGATCAGTGTTGCCACATTTTTCCACTTTCCAATTTCACCGTAGAAAATCTTTTTAATCTATACCTGGCTGACAAAAATCTGTAAAATAATCTGTATGGTTTCTTTATTATGATCTTAGTGCGGATTTTCGTAAACCTCCTTTTCAAAGTTCAGAAAGAGTTTGTCCATAGTGTAAATAAGAATCTTGTAAAATGATTTAAGTTTGCTTTCTAAAGAGTTAATCGATTAAAATATCTCCAAATCCTAAATCTTTATATTTTGTTAGTAACAAATGTCTCATTCATTCCTAACGAGTTACCTCATCCTATCTTTCTCTTATCCCACAGGTCATGCAATTCGGCCGGATCGATGGCAACGCATACACGCTGGACTTTCAATATCCCTTTTCGGCACTGCAAGCCTTTGCCGTGGCTTTGGCAAACGTTACCCAGCGATTGAAGTGAAATTCCATCGACCGGATGCTGCTGGTCACGTATAAAAGCATCTTCAGCAGAAGTTGGAAAAACAAAATCATTGACATATCACATGCAAAAGATTACATACAGCAAGCATCGCACGTTTTTAGTATCGCCACTATGTTATGGCATTGTTCTGCAACTATTATTCGTATGGCTGTTCTGAATTCGCCGCAAACAGTTGGAATGTATGAATGTTAGTCGTTGTGTGCGCCAGCTTTGTCACCCACCAGTAGAATTCGAGATACAGAAAAGAAATTTTGTGTTTTAAAATACTAGTTACTACGAATTTAGGTTTTCCGCCGATAGCTTTGGTGAGATTGGTTTCAAATGTCGCATCAATACGTAAGTGAACGTTGTATTTGAGATTAGAAAGTATACATTTCAGACAGCTTTTCACATATCATCCATGTGTAGCCATTCGTTGTATAAACAAACTATAATATCTACCTACCTACTACAACAGTAAATGTTAAAACTCATTCTCATAAAATACGTTCGGTGGCAGACTAGAATTAAGCCGACATAGTAAATCTAGCATGGCCTATAGACGTATAGCGAAGGACTGATGGAACTATCAATCCTGGTGTAAATATTTAAACCGCCAAATTAGTCGGATGGAAAAACCTAGGCTTAATCGAGACGCTGCTGCCGAGCAGCTGTACTTCATGTGCAATGCAAAAGATTAAAAAAAAAAGTTAAGTTATGTAACTGTAACACTACCAAAGACGCGAGTTTTGTACCAATAATGCGCTTATCATAACTGTAATTGATTGATTGAAACCGTTTCGAATTTGTTCAACTATGTATCTAGTCCAATTTTTGCTTTCATCATTGCCACTGTGAACTGTTTCTAGTCATTTTTGTCACGTTAATTTTTGCGTACGAGCACGTTCCTCTAGTCAAACTATAAGCTTTTCTCGTTCCTGTTTACTATTTTTATTTCTCTACGTTAGGGGTTTTTCGTTGATTGATGATCGTTCTGTTTACATTTTATGGAAGCTATTTTACGGTTCTATCGAGTTCGATTGAAGGAAAGAAAATATTAGTAATTGAGGCATAAGTTTTGTTTTAGCACGCTAAAATAGTGTAGTTAGTTCACCAACCGCAAACAAGAATAATAAAATATACCGCGAAAAGTAAAAAAAGAAAAAGAAGCATAGGAAAATAATCCATCCAAAGCTGGAAAACTTAAGTAAAACGCAAGCGAAATTCAACAAATAGCAAACAACACTTACAAAATAGTAGCAAACAGCAGCACTAACGTCCGTTTTAAATAAATTTAAAAATCCGATAATTGTGAGAAAGCAAACATTTTTTTTTGCAAACAACACACCATCAGCTATTAAATATACAAAATAACAAACATGACAAACAAAACCCTCGTTGTGATAGACAAACGAAAAAAAAAATCAGTAAAATTTTGTGCGTAAATCTTTTTGTAACGATTTTTTTTTACTGAAGGAAATAAATGAACAACGTAAAGCAAGAAGATGAGGTAAAATTAAATTAAGTGATTCAGAAACCAAATCAAGCTTGATTGCAGAAGGTGATGACTTTTATATGCAATGATTATTACTTAAATCGCGTAAATTTTTGTAATCTCTCGTAAGCAAACGACCAGTAGATTCTTTCCATCAGGGTGTCAACGCAGTGCTTTTCGACGTCAAAGTTGAACCCATACTGAACCGTAATGCTTAAATCGATATACTTTGTTTATCGCGACGATTTTTTGAAATAATCCAGGAAAAACATATATATTATACAAAAAATACCTACGATGATAAGGTTTAAAAAAAATAGTTTGGTGAATACATTGAAATCGGTAAAAAAAAAACATAGTTTGAAACCTAAATCGCAACCAAAAAATCAGATCGATCCCGCGCTCTTACTACTAGTTAAAGAAAAAAAACAGATAGCCCGATGACGAGAGGAAAATAATTTGTGTAGTCCATTGACACCAGTCACGAAATAAAAATTTAATGTTCCGAAATGAATTAGGGTGAGATGGGTTTTAAAACAGTATTGTGAGTTGTGAAAATCCCTGTTCAAACGTAAGATCTTCTATACAGTCACCTCACAATTATGGTACCGACAAATCGCCATGAAATCATGATAGGAAATTCTTATTTCGGATCTAACAGTCATTTTTGGAATTATGAAATCATTAGATGTGTGTTTGACAATGTTGCTTTCTGAGAGTCGTGCTCAGCGATTTCATCAATTTTAACTCGATCGATGCAACGTAAGGACTGCTAGTTTTCTTTTTCTGTTGAAGTCGAACCTTCGCAGCATTCTAGAACCTCAGTAGGCGTCTACAAACATATTTTCAATCGCTAGTCGCTCTGTCTCCTGTCGCTTCATTGGTTGAAGCGGACGAGTGAAAGAGTGCTAGTTTCGTCTTTCATGAAACCAAAGATATTTAATTAACAAGATATCCCACTAATCAGTTCCTCGAACAAGGCAATGGATACACCACCCTTATGTGATCGCAGTGGCATCTGGCGAGTGCACATCGAAACTTTTGGGAGTTTCCCGCCAACTTCACCACCAGGGCTCAATAAATGACAGGTGTCAGTATGACATATGCCAACGCGGACGTTGATGACCAGCCGAGGAAAGAGGATAATCGATTTCATCATCATTATTTTGCGATAGCAAGATTCTCACTTCATTTTGATTGCATCGATTTTCAATCATTACCACGTTGTACGCATCAGAAACGCTTGAGAAAACAATCACAAATCCAAGCTCACATCATGATGGGCTCGTAATATGTTTTGCTTTCGAGTGAACGAGTTTCCAATATCACCACCGGTATCAGTAAGATGCATTGTTTACAAATGCATATACGTCCATTCGGAAAAGTTATCGAGAATTGATTTATGAAGAAGTATACATGGAAAAAACGCATCGTAGCGAAATCATTGCTAAACAAACGTAATAAAATATGCCGTCTTCCTTGGCCAACGCTGCACGCTATTGGCAATTCAAACATTACGTTGTAATAATGATTACTTTTCTATTTTATAACGAAGGTATTTTTCAATGACGGCGAATGAAATGGCAAACTGAAGCTGCCGAAGCTAGCCGGCGCCGGTGGTGTGTAGTGGTAAGTGTGACTGCCCAACTAACATTTTCAGCTTTGTAAGCCAACTTTTCCAGCGTTGTGCTGTAAAGTAGCTGAAAAGAAGCTGCAGATACAGCTACAAGCAGAGCTAGCAAAATAGTTTTGGAGAGCGTTTACTCAACTTTCTCACAACCATTATTCAATTTGTCAGTCGCACTGAATAACATCAGCCAATAAACGCTAATGTCACTTCTATACACACACTACCCAACTTTCAACTTGTAGCTGCAAAACAAAGCTAACAAAGTGAATATATTACTCATTTGATGGCTTCTACACAACCAATCACTCTTGCTGAATAACATAAACATCAAAAGTGCTTTTTCAACAACTAAACAGCCTGTACTTAGCTTATAAATTGTGTTAGAGCAACTTCGGAAGCATTTTCACAGTCAACTAGGTTTATTTTTAGACGTGTGCAGTTTTACAGCTTTTACTCTGTTCTTTTATAACTAGTCGAGAAAAGTGATTCATGTGTACTAATCAGCGAATCCAAACACATAAAGCAACCAACGATACAGACAAAACGGTTGCTACGACTACCATGACAAACTCGCTCTGTAACAAAGCTCGATCCGAGTGGTAGAAGGATAATGATATATTGCTTGCCTGCTTTGTTGCAATATACACGGATGAGGACATAGCTTGATATGAATCGGGAAAAGACATAACAAAAAAATTCCCATTAACACACGTGTATCATCTTCGGCTTTACTTCGTGAAGCAGAGCAGCTTGCCAACAATTTGCTCGTTTCCTTCTACCGCCCCGAATGAGTTGGGTCGCACGAGCTGCGTGTCATGAAAAAGAACGGTGAAGATTATATCATTATTGTTTTCCACTTCTGACATAGCGTTATTATTCGGTTCGTTGATCGCTTGTTATTTTGTCATTCGGAGATATTTTTGATTCCTTGGTACTAATATAAAGCCTTTACTCAGCGATTTTGTTGTAGAAGCGAATGTTGATTTGTTTACATAAGTTCAAAGTGTTGGCGTAGCACAGTCGGTAGTGTCAAGGTTTGCCAATGAGGTCGTCTCGAGTTCGATTCCAGGTTCCGGTGCAGGGTAAATAATTTGGTGATGATTTGTAACTAATTTCGATTAATTTGATTCACTCACAGCAAAATAAACTCAATAAATTCCTTCATACAAAAGCGTAAACAGTACTTAACCCGGTTTCAAGAGAAAGCTGTGTAGTGATTATTGGATAACCGGGAAAAGGTTGAATAAGCGCCTTTCAAGTTCACACACAACTAAACAACAGGATAACAGCTGTATAGAAGCGTTAATGGATATGCAATAAGAGCTTCTCCCGACCGTTCCAACAGCCATAAGTAGCTGACTAAGTTCACCAGATTTGCTTGTATAGAGGTTGAGTAAAGGTTTCCTCATATCGTATAACGTTTGAATACAGCTTGAGACTGTATAAATGAAATGAGTAAAGCGTTTACATTGTGAAAATTGTTAGTTGGGTGCTTTCTCACCCTAATGGGTCTGGGTTCAATCCCAGCAGATGTCGGTGGGATTTTTCTGAGGCATAGAAATCTCTGGTCACGTCTTCCTTTGGAAGGGAAGTAAAGCTGTTGGTCCCGGCCCATGTGTGTTGTGAATGGGTGCGATATCCTACGCAGGTGTGGAAGTTGCCTTCCTGGATTGCCATCCATTGTCCGTCGGTGATTGGCACTAGATTGCGGAACAGAGACCGACGTTAAATAAAGGAAAAGAAGAAAAAGAATAAGATGTAGCTGCCGAAGCTGACACCGCTTCGTGTTTTGATTTGTGGAGGGTACAGCTACAGCTTTTGATTTGCGGAGGGATTATGCTCAGTGGTGTGGGTTCGTACATGTATGGTGTGCACAACCGGTGAACACTCGTGTTTATTTTAGTTACCGTGGGGATGTAATTTGTGATTAGTCCCGATCCTTTTCTTCTTCTTCTTCTTCTTTTCCTTTATTTAACGTCGGTCTCTGTTCTTCTTCTTCTTCTTCATTCCTTTATTTAACGTCGGTCTCTGTTCCGCAATCTAGTGCCAATCACCGACGGACATCGATTGCCATCCATTGACGGCAACCGAATGTGCAGGAAGGCAGCTTCCACACCTGCGTACGATATCGCACCCATTCACAACACACATGGGCCGGGACCAACGGCTTTACTTCCCTTCCGAAGGAAGACGTGACCAGAGATTTTTATGCCTCAGAAAAATCCCACCGACCTCGGCTGGGGATTGAACCCAGACCCATTGGGGTATTAAAAAGCAGTCACGCTTACCACTACACCACCGGCCTTTCAAATCGTATCATTATTTGTGTACGGTCCTTATATTTGAAATGACGTTTCACATTTATCTAGGGACAACGGCGCCGGTGGTGTAGTGGTAAGCGTGATTACCTCTCACCCCAGCAGGCCTGGGTTCAATCCCAGTCGGCGCCGCCGGGATGTTCTGAGGCATAACATCTCTGATCACGCCTTCCTTCGGATAGGAAGTAAAGCCGTTGGTCCCCGGTTCATGAGTTTGATGGGTCGATAGGTAGGGTCCAGGTGTGGGAGCTGCCTTCCTGGCACGTCGGTAGCATTGGTGCTCAGCACGGAAAACAAGATCGACAAAAAAAACAAATCAAAGGAAAAAAAAAAAATATCTAGGGATGGCCGATTTTCATTCGAATAATCGATTAACGAACCGAAAAGTAAAATATTTCTAATCGGTTATATTATGCCGATATAAGCATTACCTTCTCCAGAGCTTCATCACCCATCGTTTCAATCATGTGCTGCACTCTAATTGGTGGAAAAATGACAGCACAGCGAACAAAACATAATCGATTAGTTGTTAATCGAGTAATCAAAAAAGGGACATCTCTGATTTTGGTGATTGTTTTTATAAAAATGAGTGCAACATTTCATCTCTACCAAGGGGGCAGCAAAACCACAAAATTACCTTGAATACGGGGGGTATTCATTTGATGAAAGGCACCGTGGAGAGGACACGAAAATAGAAAGTTTTTCTTCCGACAGTTTCATCTTAGTATTCTTCCGAGTATTCATCTTTGGTGTGCATTTGCGCTGTACCAAAGATATCTAATTAACAAGATATCTCACTAATCAATTCCTCGAAAAACCACCCCTATGTGATCTCAGTGGCATCTGGTGAGTGCACATTGAAACTGTTGGTAGTTCCCCGCCAACTTCATTCACAGGGCTCAATAACTGACAGGTGCCAGCGCGGATGATGATGATGATCAGCCGAAGGAAGAGGACCATATCATCAAATATATTATATTAACAATATGATCCACTCTTTCACTTAGCTGGCGAACCGAATTTCTAGCGATAAAAGCACCTCTGTGGCCAAAAAGGCTACCAATGTATTTGTTTATCGTCACGAGGGGTAAACCAAATGAAAATTTGTTTAATATTTCAAATGAATGTATTTCAGCATTTTATTTTATTTGATGACAACAGTGACATGTCAGACAAATTTGAAAGTACACAGAGAAAAAAAATACCCTAAATTTAAGTTCTTTTTACTTAATTTTGGGTAATTTTGAGTTTTGCATCCCACTCTCACTTTTTGTTGTTGTCAAAAACGGAACGAGAGATTCGACTTTCTCATGACTATCGTTCAATAAGCTACTAGTGAGCGAGCTAGTGAGTATATGAGATATTCTCTAATTTGAGTCAATTGAACTTAATTTTGGGTAGAAAATACTCATGAGTAAGTAATTATTTTTGCCGTAGTCAAATGTAAACTACTATAAGCGGTTTACTCAAAATTAGCTTATTGAACGGAACATGGGAGATGAGTGAAAACAACTTAATTTTGGGTAATTTTTCGGTTCCGTGTAATACACACACACTGTAACCACA